ATTCTGTTAAGATCAGCAATCCTAAACTATCACACAAATGGGAAAGATGAAGTATGCTTTTCTATAAAGCAACAGCACAAATTATTTACCACTTAATGGTATTCAATATAATTACATATTGTTAAAAAATTATAATTGAACACTACATTTACATTATATGTTTGCATGCCCCTGCAGAGTGTGCAAAGCATGTTAAATACATAACATAAATAGCCTTAAAAAAATTTTAAGAGAGCAAACAGATTATCTCTTCTCACATGTAATAGCAGAATGGGGAAGTCTTACACATACAAATATTACTTTTGACGTAAAGTTGAACAAAGATTTTTTTAATGAGGAAGGGGTTTTCAAAGGAACCTGAGGGTGCTCCACAGATACCCGAAACCAGTTAAAAATCAGTAGTAGCTGACATTGAGTCGCACCAGGTATACTTCAAATATTCAGCTGAAGGTCTGATTTTGGAGTGTGTGTTTAATAAGAGTAAGATGGGCTTTCGACTTTTGCTCCCGTTAGTTCATGTTAGAAAATTCTTACAGTTTATTAGTCCTAGTCTGATCTTCGTTCAGCGTTTTATCAAATACTTCACACAGTTACAGCTAAAATGACATTGAAATGGTAGTGAAACTTAGAACAATTTGGGTTTTCAAAAGCACTAAACTAAAAAGTGCTATTGTAGTTATGCTCTTGCATATAATTATTTCAGAGGATGATAAAATGAGGAGAGAATTGGATTCAGAATGCTTGAGCACAATTCAGGAATTAGTTTCCTAATTTAGTAGTTTATAAATAATATATTATCAATAAGGGACTGAAAGTAGTGTTGCAGAGCATCTTGTTTTCTAAAATGATTGGTATGAGTAATATCAATTAAGACTACTGCTGAAACTGAGGTAGAAGTTTTATGTGCTATTATAAATGTAAATAATTAAAGCTGTAAATGGTGTCAATAACCAGACCTTGTCCTAAGAGTTGTCCAGGGCTTAGCTTGTGTCATTCAAGTAGAACTCAGAATTACAGATTCAACTTCTAAGTCAATTGTTTGACTGATCAGTTTGATATTATATAACTGGAAACATGCAAAGCATTTTAATTTCTTCAAGAATTATGTTGTGAGCAATTTGTTTAGTAAGAGAAAACCCACAAAAAGCATATGCCATTATTATTACCCAGTATCCAATAAAAGATAGTTTTTCAGATTATTACCATATGTGTGTAGGAGTTGCTTTGTACTGTAAAGTTATTTTAGATACCAGAATAATTTGTTTCATACTTTGAGTTCCTCACTGTTAAAGTGTCCCCTTAGATTTGCTATTACTTTGACTATTGTGTGATATACAGTAAAAAAAATAGTTTACAATAAAAGAAATTTAACAAGTAATTGAAATTCCAGATTGTGCGCAAAATGTGCCAAATGAAGTAATGGTATTTGCAGGGATATTGTATGAGTGCAGTAGCTGCGGGGAAACTACTATAAAACTGTTAAATATGCTCCCCCTCCCCCTGCTGTCTTTAACCACTGTTATAAAAGCTTGAGAAAATAAAGCAATCTTGACTGGCTGACGAACATTCCAACAGAGAAATTAATGTATTATAAATCATATGTTATAACTGGTTACCCATATTTTTCTTATTGTTTCTATTGATGTAGAAATTAATAGACAGCTTTAACAAGGAAAGATTACTGAAAAAGGCTTTTTGGTATCTGAATATGTTTCATGTTGAACAATCTTCTTAGGACCCAGCAGAACAGTAACTGAAGCAAAGGAAAAGTGTCATTTGTAATGCTGCTTTCTTAAACCAATGCTTTTGTCTCTGAGCTAGTGCAGACTTAAAGGATATCATGACTAACAGGAAAGTTGGTTGAAATTGGTTTATTTTAAGATGGAGTTTTTGAATGTGCATTCTGTAATGCTGATATAAACTCAGAAGTTAAGAAAAGCATAATTTATATAGGAAAATCACCTCATTGATTTGAGTTGATTTCGTTTGATAGACTGATTACCTGCAGATAACTGCCAACTTAAAGGTACACAGGAAGGACTGTATTTACAAACCACTTTTGAATGTGTTATACTTTATCAGTATATCATGAAAGATTTATTGCTAATCGTGATACCCTTTTGATTTACATTCAGATCTCCTCATGGATCTTTCCTTCTTAGCTTAACAGATTCATAGTCTCAGGAAAGAAATCTTAAGATGGTCCAAAGCCATTGCTGGAGAATTTTAGAAATTGTCTTGTTTTCAGGTGTCGGTTTTCTTTCTCCAGTTGTGGGACAAGTTCATGATGCAGTTTCTTTTATCGTCCCATTTTTTTTAAGCAACTTCATTATTTGCTGTAACTAAATAGCAAAGTGTGGGGCAGTGTATTTGGTAGCATGGTAGCATCTGCTTCAACAATATCCCTTTTTTAAAGAATTTGCTGTGCCCATGGCCAATATGGCAAAGTTCTTTGCAAACATTTGGCAGGCATTAAGCAAAGTCCTATACATTAGGTGTTATTTGCATACCTTACCAAGACTGTGTTATGGTCCAAGTATTCACAATAGTCTGTCTCCTTGCATTGTTCATATACAGATCTCAGGGTTAGCCCAATGTATTTGTTCCATGTGCCATCCAGAATTTTGTAACTGTAGCACAGATGTGTGTTGTACACAGCTTTTTGGACATAAGAAAACTAGGATGAGCCGTTCTGCATGTAATTCCAACAACAGACTCAGTCCTGAGCGAGCAAACCAACTATAGTAGGCAACAAATATTCAAGCAGCCAGAGAAACCAGGACTCATGCTTAGTTCCGCTTCCTCTCACTTTGGATTGAGAGTTTACAAGTTGTCAGAAATAACGGGTGCAAACCCCAAGTTTACAGGTCAAAAATAGGCCATCACGTTCACAGGATGGCTGCTAACACGGGTACTGGATATGTAAGTTGAATATCAGCACTAAGTCTTTTACTTTCTTTTCTTAAAGTATTTGTTGCGGAGACTTGGTATTTCCAGCCTTATGGTGCTCACAAAGACAGCTTCCTACTACAGTTTGCTTAGTTTTTGTAGTCAATGTTAATATATGTTAAAAATTGCAGTGGTAGCCGTGGCGATAGGAACAGTATTCCCAAAAGAGAAGACTGTTTCTGCTTAACCTGAGCTTATATAATAGATAAGGGGAAGAGTGTGTTTTGAGTCCTATTATGTGTGTTCTGTTTCAGAAGGCACTTCAGATTTGCGTCTTCCACTTGCAGCGAGGGACTAACTGGGCATACCTGTTGTCCAAAAAAAACCCCAAACAGTTTCCATACGTTCATAGTTCAACCAGGAAATTTATTTCATTCACTGAGTAAAAATTACTTTCTGTAGAAAGAGAAAGCTCAAGCTTATCTGCAGCAACTACTTATTTGTATAGTGCCCAGTGGGGTCTTCATTTCTGTATGCAGAATGTAACTGCATTACAGCATAGTTTTTCCAGAATATTTGATTGCAGTTGTGAAACCAACACTAGGATTGTGGCCTTAGCATTCGTAAAAAGGCATTTTGGATTGTCCAACTGGACCATCAGTTATCAAAATTTATCTGTGACACCTGTTTGCCTTCATAATTACTTATTACCCTGGAAAATTTTGGAATGAGGTTTCCTATCTGTGTGTACTGGAGCCATGCTACAACACAACATAGGAAACCAGAGAGAATTCTATTTTTTTATATAGCTACCTAGTTTTTAATGAGGATTGTACTTGAGGAGGCGCTTGAAAGGTATCAGCATATGTAAGTTAAAAGAATTTTTGTTAGTTCTTTATGAATTATAGCTTGAACACTTATATAAATGAAATGTGTGACATGGGTTTAATTAGCCTAAGTACACTAGGCTTTCTTTTCAAAATTAAGTTTTATATCTAAGAATTAAATTTGAACTATCTTTGCTTTATATGACAGTTGTATTTGACGCAAAGGCAGTGTCTGCTATAAGATATTTTAAGTATGGAATAAGAAATTATTGGCATGAATGTGTCACCTCATGATTATGAAAATAAATACAGGCTTTTAATTTAATTAAGAGTAAGCATTTTAAAAAATAAAATGAAAGTTACCTTTCTCCTAACTTTTGCTGTTAACATCTATGCTAGTCTTTCTTTACTGTTCAGTTCCTCTTCTGTTTAGGAAAAACCTTCAAATTAAGCAATATGTTGGCAGTGCTCCCTGTTGTCTCATAATTTGTTAAATACTTTCCTAAATCTTGCATTTGCATGGTACATGATCAGATAAGCAAAATGAGTGAGATTTTTGTAGGAGTAAGTTCAATGAAGCACTATTCCCTCAGGAGAAAAGAGACTATAGTGTAGCTAATAAAACACTTATTTGTATCGATCCAGAGCAGTGTAAGGGGAATCTTCTGGATCCACATGGCTTCCTTTCAGAAAGATACTGCAGGGAAGAGCCAGACAGGGTTTGAAGCCAGCAGAGTAGCTGCAGTAGCAGCCAAAGAATGGGTTAGGGGTGCTACTGATGACATCAAAGTCCTACTGCTGTCTTCACTGTGAACATGTTCCATCCATTCAGGATTTCTTCTAATGCATCCCTTCCCTTACTTGGTGTTCCATTTAGCTAATTCCTCTTCCTGCATACTAACCTGAATATCCATACTTCAAAAAACTTAAGTAACAGTTTGTGAATAAAAAAGGTTACAACGGTACTGTACACTCAGCTTGTTTGTTCTAATCCTTTCTTTTACCTGTCTTGATTATACAGATTCTGAGATACTCGGATGATGTTTTAGTCATCTATCTAGCACAGATTGGCTCTTAGGTGTGATTGCAATAAGTGGGAGTAATATTAATAAACATATCTGAATTGAAGAATAAGTATTGTTGTTTTCTTTTGGCCAAAGAATCTAATTGAAAACAGGAAGTTCAATTATATTTGTAGATGGAACAGTAGAAGCAGCATAATTCAATGTTATTGCTTCTGTGATTCTTCCCAATTTCTTAATGAACTTTATTTTTTTTATGCAGAGACTTGAAGGGTGTTATAGTCACGCTGAGTGACGATGGGCATCTTCAGTGTTCCTACCTCGGAACTGATCCTTCACTCTTCCAGGCTCCTAGGGTTGATTCTAGGGAAATAAACTATGAAGAATTTGATGCTGAAATGAAAGAGCTTCAGAAAATCATCAAGGAGGCCACAAAAACACAAGGTATGCTTCTCCCTTTTCTATAGTTGTACGTACTTTTAACCACCTGACTTTCCTTTTAGCACTTTAAAATGTTTTATTTTCATACTTCAGCCGTAATTACATTTCTATAGGAAATGTAGTATTTAATAAAGTTTAGGTTTTAATAAAAAAATGTCCAATCCTAGACTGTAAGGCCTTTGGATACAGAGTTTTTTCTTTGTATTTTCATAATGCTCGTTGGAAGTTTCAAGATATTTACATTGGGTTGCAGATAATTCTCACTAGTGCAAGGGCTCAGAGAAAAAACTGACAGTGCTTGTACTACTCAAAGGCAAGAAAACTTAACGAATTTCACAGCAACAGTCTGATATACTTCAGAGAGAGTATTGCCAAAAGTATTGCCAAATTCTGTTTTATTATTACAAATGGCTTCTTAAGTCATGCAATTGACAAAGAATGACTTTTGTTAAAGCACCTTTTCTGTTGCTTTAACTTCTTTCAAAAGCAATTGTATTTGAAGAACATTTGAAGGTGCGAGATATCAAAACCCAAATAACTGATCATGATAAACTCTGGAATTTACATACCTTGCTAATAACTTGCATTGATTTTGTTCAAGTAAGGGCACATAATTTCTTCAGAGATCCTTCAAAGTTTGTGTTTTCATAACTGAGTTTTAAAACAGTGTATCTGACTTGCACAGGGAATTGGAAGCATGTGGTTTTACAGGAAACTATGGAAAAATCTTAGACAAATAGAAAGAACCAATTAAAATCTTTTCCTGATGATACTTAGCATTAAAGAAATAGTTGTGGCTTTCTATGTGAAAAAGAGAGTGAAAAAGCTCACAGTTGAAATCCCTAGAAAATAAAAATTTATTTATCTGCAGTCATGAGCTTGATTCTACAACTCCAAGATTTCTTTTTTGTAATTGCATTTAACTTTGTCCATTATTGTGATAGACTAATACCAAGATTTTAAGTTTTCAAATCCAATAATTGGTTATTTAAGCATATAAATGTGGGTAAATTCCATTGATTTTTACCTCGGCCCTTCTTTATAAGTATTTGACAGTTTTGTCTATCATAACCAAGGGAAAGAAAAACATGATGGAAGGAATAAATCCATTTGAAGTGAATCAACTTCTGTTTGTTAGTTTTAATATACTGTGTGGAAGATCTAGAGAGAGAGAAAGGAAACGTAACTGTCCTTTATAACTTTTCTAATAACTGTCATGGTGTGATTGACAAGTTTACTGTGAATATTGTTGATCTTTTCCCCATTCTCTCTTCTTCTTAATTTTTTTCTTCCTCAATCTTTCTAATCTGATGTAAGGTGTTTTCAGATGAGTTTTTATGAATGCTCTTTTCGTTGTGGAGGGATGCTCTAATGATGTTGTGTTTGGCTTTAACCGGATGTAAAACTTGTAAGAAAACCTTTTTTACAATAAAACATTTTACTTATGAAGAATGCCTTTCAGTTTCGGATGTTTTGGCTTTGTTTTATTTTTGCTTTTTTCTTAGAACTTTAGCTAAGTCTTAAAATAACTGCTAATTGTGTCTCGTTGAATACAAAACACTTTTGAACATTGGTCACCATTGAGTTACTCCTAAGCATGATCTTTAAAGTGAACTATTGACTTTTCTGTCTTTTGGATTCACGTTTGTGCAGTAAGAGCTTGTGTTGTTTTGAAAATATCTACCCTTATATGGAAATAATTTGTCTTTGTTTCATTTTGACTTCCAAACATGGAAGGTATTTAGAATTAGGTCATCATGCAAAAAAAAACCCCTTAGAGTAGTTCTTTGCATAAATGTCTTCTATTTCTCTCCAGTGCTGACCATTAAACTGTTGAACTTAAGCTGTTTTATACATTTTGAAGAATAAGGATTTACATTATAAACTGATGAAATATTTTAAAATCTTATCTGTTATACTAACTTAAATCTAATGTTACTTGCATCAGCCTGGATGACGTAAGTGATTAAACATAGGTGTTTTGGCTCAGTTTAATAGTAACAAAAAGCTGATACTTATATGTAAACTTTGGTTGTGATCTCTGTCCTGTTTCTAATAGCAAAATGACTGTATGACAGAAGTTGCATAAGTTGCATCATAGTTTGCTTGAAGAAGCAACCTGAAGAGAAATGGTTAAGAAGGGATAGAAAAGGAAGATATTTTCTTATCTGTACAAGTAGAATGGATTGTGCTGAGCTATGTGTAATTGGCAGAACCAGTTGTGCACAATTGTGGCAGTATGAAACGGGCCTAGGCTTCTTTGGTAGATGGTATTGGAGGAACATGTTTTGATTTTGGTTTTTTTTCCTTGTAGTAAAGGGAGGCATTTTTCTCTGAGCACAAGAAAATGAAAATTTATTTGCTGTCTTCATCAAAATCTTTTCCCTTGACCCTCTTGTTAGAAGGAAATAATGTGCTGCCTACTAGTTCTGGGTCATTTTCAGGATCCTATGTGTAATAAAATTCTTGCAGCTTTCTGAATGTGCTCATGTTCTCAATTATTCAATTAATATGTTAATTTCCCCTTTACATTAAGCCTTTACTGTTTGTTATTTTAGGAACTATACATTTCCTGTTTCAGTTTTTCTTTTTCCGATACATTTAGTATTAAGAAATAAAAGTGCTTTTCAGAAAAACTCGAATACCTTAGAGCTGGACTTCTGGACTCTTAAGAGGAGATTATGTAATTCCTCATGGTATTTAAGTGCCTAGCTTTTAATCCTTACAACTTTTTTTACGTATGTGAATCTGCATAAGGTTTTATATCATGGATATAAATGAATTCATAGCATTCTTTGCCTTGTATGTTGACAGACCTGGAAATCATCAGGTAATATATTGTAACCAAGCCCCATATAATGTTCTGTACATAAAACTTTCATATACCTTCTTACGCAGAGGAATTTCTAAAATCTATTTTAATTTTACACTATTAGACACAGAATCTTTGTGTGTCTAACGTATTCATTATCAGACTATTTAGATGAAAGTGCCATGAGATGTGCAGTGTGTATTTTGGAGATAGTTGTTTATTATAGGTGTATTAGTATATGCATGTGAGGACAAAAGTTTAAAAATTCCTTGCAGTCTCTGAAGATCATGGATAGTAGGTGTAAAATCTTGTTATAGAATGCATCTAAATCCTTTTTCATACATAAATCAGAAATCCAGAAATCCAGAAATTCATACAAACCAGAAAACCAGGTTTAGGTTGTCTGTAGAAATCTTATAAAATTGGGAAGTTTCTTTGGTCAAAAATCATATTCATTGTTATTTTTTTCCTTTGCACTAATAGGTGTAATGATGTAAGTCTGAAACTTGATGCTGTTGAAATTGTATTATTTTTAGAAATGTAGTTGCATGTTTGTTAAAGGAGAGCTGATGTACTTTTTCTTTCAGATATTTTCCCAAAATCTGAAAAACACAGAGATCTAATTGTCACAGCAGAAGTTTCGCCCGATTTGGATGCAGAATCTGTATGTAACTGTATAAAAAGGAAATTACTCTGAAAACACTGGTTTCATACATGAGTAAATAATGGTTGATCATGGGTAGTGATTACTACGTGTTGATATTTGTGGACTGAGCTTCTACATAGCCCCCAGTTTTCCATCAATTAAAACGCACTTTTTAACTAGAATTATTAAAATTATTTAGTATCTTCTCTCTGGGGACCTTTAGGTTCTTGGCTAAGCAAATATAAGTGAACGAGAACTGAGGGTCTGGAATAACTTCGTGGTGGTGAGAATCTGCAATGGTGAGCAGTTAATAATATGGGGGGAAACAGTAGAAGTGTCACCCTGTGGATCTTTCAAAGGTAGAATACACAAAGCACTCAAAGATGCATTGTAAGAAATAATCTTTCTCTAGCAAGGCATCGTTTAATATTCTCTGGTGTTACAGCCTAATTAGTTTATTCATCTTGTATACATATGTAGTTTATAAAAATTAAATCAAATTAAGATTCAGGAGAGCTTATATTGTCTCTTAAAACTTTTCGCTTTAACATTTCAGAACATACTCATTGCACTAGAACATCAGTAATTAGTAATTTCTGGCCACTGATTTCTGAAAAACTGATTTTCAGGGCTACTTACTGTTTAAAAAATACACAAGGAGCTGCTTTTTAATACTTTTTTATAGATATTTGATATATTTATTTAAACTCTGTTATTATTACTACTGCTACCTTTACTACTATTATTCTTTGATAAAGGGACCTCTTTGTAATGTGTGCTAGTGTCCTAGTACTTGTCTGTGGAAAAAAGGACAGTGTGACATGGTCTTAGCTAGCTGCAATAATCTGCTCACAACACTTAGAACTGTTAAGTACATAGAATGCTCTAATGCTGCTGTGCTTATTCACTCAACCTTCCAGATGCAAATAGTCTGTTTCATATATAAGTAACTCAATATATCAATCGAACCACAGCCTTGAATCTTTATTTCCCAAGGCTGTCCATATATCTTAGTTTCCTGTGTGGTAGGCTTTCCTGGGGGTTCCTTCAGTAGCCATCTAGAAAGGAAAAATCTGGTAAGGCACTTTATGGGGAAGGATCAATACAGCAAATGTGGGAACAATTTTAGGGCTTCTGCAGTGATCTGGGAAAGAACAGGCTTGCAGATACTACTTCTGCACTTGTGAAAAGATTTAAATTGCGATGGGTGTGGTAAAAGCAAAGAGGATATAGATGTATTAAAATGGATTAGATAAGCAAGTGGAAGACCATTCTGGTTATTTAACACCACCTCCTGTGTATGGCCTCTGATCCAGGAAGTCCAGCTGAATTCTGAAAGCTGAATATGGTAAGGATCAATCTCTTTGCACCCCTGCTATTGCTTCAGGATCAACCACTGGTCACCAGAGACAACAGGCATGACAACTCCGTATGAAAGTAGCTATGTTTTTTTAACTGAAAAAGATACACAATGTACAAATGAAAGTCTTATTTCTAGAACCCAGAGAGCCTACCAGCTTTCTGACTTCTTAGGAACTTTGCAGACGTGGACCTTATACCATGTTGGGATGAAAAGGAGGGTGGGTAGAGGACATCAGATTGTTCTTAATTTACTCTTTTATCATGAGAAGGTATAAGTTCGAGTCAGTAATTTGGTATTATAGCCAAAGTGAAGTGTTTCTTTAAAGTAAAATAGCTTAAACAAATAGGAACATTTTCTTAAACAGTAGGGACTGACCTGTTGCAAAATGAAATACAAGCATAAAATAAGATATTAAAATAGACTGCAAGGTCAAGATGAATTTTGAATAGATGGAATTGCCCATTGAAATAGAAATTAGCAGGAGTAGCAAGATGACTGCTATAATTTTCTTTTGAGGTTCAAAATGTATTTCTGATTATAAGATAGCGTGTAATGATTTTCTAGTACATGCTATGGGGTGTATGTAATATATTGGCAGATGTCCCTACTGAATAACAGAAGGTATTTCCAGAATTTAAATAAATATAGAGTGGAAAGTAGTGTGCCAAACAAAACAGCTTCAAATATTCATATATACATCAGAGTGTATTAGTTTCTTATATACACAACATTCATGACCTTTTGCTATCCCTTTTGCAGGCAATTTCAAACAGAGGCTTTGCATTTTCAGAAGGAACTCAGAAATGTATTTTGTGTATTTTAATCTGTCGTAGGAATGATAAGTCCTTTACCATTAATTCCCTGTTTACCAAGGTGATGGTAGGAAAGTAATATTGCATTCATTGTGTTCACTCATTCATGTGTAATATTGAATTTACTCTGTTTTCATCTTTTTCTTCACAGCAAGCCATTGACAGTGAGGTAAAAGCAGAGGCAGTACCATCAGTCACAGTAAAGGTACTGTGCCTAACTCCAACAGTAGCATTCAAATAGTGGTGGCAAATTTTAACAAACCTGTCACTTTCTGTGTATTTCACTTAGATCATGAAAATGAGTAAAATTTGAAATGCAATATATACTTAATTCTTTTTCTTCTTAGTATGACAGGGTGTTGTTCTAGCAAGCCTTCTGCTGAAGTCAGAAAGCGATTGGAGTTTTATTTTTGATAGGCTTATCAAGAAGCAGACAGAAAAACATTATTAGGATGGAATGAAGTTGTTTTTGAAGTTACAAGAATAATTTTTCCAACACTTTTCAAAGGGAATATATGTTTGGTTAGTCAACATGTGAAGTTTTTTATCTTCAGCTGCCTTTTTAGTTGTCAATAAATAGAAATAGACTTTCTTTTGTAAGAAGACTTTAATAGCTTTTGCTAGTGAAAAAAAATGCTAGGAAAATCTAATTTGAAAATTGACATCATGCAGGCCTCCATTGCTGCCTGTAACTGATTCTAAAGAAAGTGTGAGTGTGTGTGTGCGTGTGCATGCATGTATGTGCAAGTGTAGTTTCTCCTCAGTATTGCCTAAAAAGGATCATGATTTTTATTTCTGCGTTTGAGAGGATCTTCTAGGAATATCAGTGGAGCCTTATTTTTGAGAACCTTGCAAGTTCTGCCTCTATCTTGAGTGAAAAGTTCAGAGGGTAACTGGACTATCCACTGAACCAGATTCCCTTACACTCGTGTGGTTTAGTTGTACTTGGTCCACCATCTTTCTCTGCATTTTTAAATGCTAAAATGATACAGGATAAAATCCTAATCCTGATAAAGTCTGTGACAGTTTTGCTCAAAGAAGTTCAGCTGAATGACATTGGACTTTGAATCAGGCTGTTTGTGAATATAAGGGTACCTTAAAATATGTAATGTAAACTTAAATTACCTCCAGAAAGGTATGAATTTATCAGCTTTTAGTTTACATTGGAGCCAATATATTGTATAAGGGAGTTATTATAGAGGAAAGTATTGTGTTTATAATTGCCAAATTCAATTTTTGGAGAGTGGTTGTAATTTCAGCATTGGGAACACAGGTAACTCCCATTGTTCTCTCTCATCTGCTCATTAATTGCTATTGTAAAGTCAATGGCAAACACTATTTAAAATGATCATGGATGTGTTTATATGTTTGATAAGTTTTTTAATGGAAAAGCTTTATAATTCCCCAATCTGTTTTCTTTTTTATGTATCTTATACCTTTTAATGAAACAAAAATAGTAAATGAGGGGTTATCATGCATTCAGTTTTTTCCAGTATATTTTTCCTGTGATAAGTTAATTTAACTGATCTTCATATGTCTCCATTCTAATTAATTGCAGTTGGTGGAAAAGTCCTTTTAATTAATGGATTCAACTCTTTAATATTTACAAAGTTATAAGCATTGGTTCTTACGAAAGTAAGAAATAATTGTACATTATAGTTGCATGTTACGACTCCTGTCAGACTAATTTGAACTTAACTCTGGATTTGGACAAGTTGAGAACAATTTTGATAAATTTTAAAATTAAATGTTTTCTTGAATTGCACAACCGCAACCAATGTGTATGTATACTGTGCATGCTTTCTGTAAAGTAGGTAATGTTACTAATGAATATTATTTGGCCATTGTAATGGTGGTCATTGTACCCAAAAAATCTGCAGGCAATGCATTGTGCTCTAAAAAACTTCCAGAATTTGTGACACTTATTTTTATATTAAAAATTTAATTTTTAAATTTAATTTTGCAGCAATGACAGGCCTGTCAGAAAAGCTTTAATAAAATTAGATACTTTTGACAAAAGTTTCTGGATAAGAAGATTCTTTACTTCAGGCTCCTATATGCAGCAAAAAGCCAAACATAATTGAGAAATGCACTGAAGTAGTGTTTGCCAGTAACTTCAAATATCACTGTCTTGATTACAAATTCTGAATTGTGCAGTCTCATGTCTGCATGTTTTTAGCTCATTTAATTGGCATAACATCTCTAAGGCTATTGATTCCATCTTCACTGCTCACCTTATTGAGATTCTGGCTTCAGAAAATGGGGCAAAGTTTGCCTGAAGTAAGTACAGAGGTAGATGTGATCCTTCCTTGCTAGCATTAATAGCGATGGATGATCTGAGGGCCTGTTTGCAGCCCAAATGTATTGTTAAACCAAAATAAATGTTGATGTTGATTCTGTCAAAGTAGTCACACTTCCTAACACTTGAGTCATTTTATAACTAATAATATTTTCCTAAACTGATTTAACCTGGCTGTACTGAGGTCCTTGGTAGACCAGCAATACAAAACAGATGATAATAGTTAGCAGATATGGTCTGTGTATATGCAGACAACATTCAGATCTCAGTCACCACTATACTTTCATTTTAGATCTGAGTTAAGGACATTCTTTTGATATCCACTCGTTTTGCAGAGAAATAACTGCCTACAATAGAAACAACCAGGGCCACTCCAGGTTTATGGTTAGGTCAGCTCTCATGATCTGGAGTTGTAGTTGTGCTGGGTATCCTGTATATTGAATTTTAGAATTTGTTTGCAGTAAAAAATCAAATAGAACTTGACTCTGAAGTTGTTCAGAAGACTAGGCATTGCTCTTTGCAGTTAAAGGAACTAATTTATTTGGTTAGCTTTGTTTTTATTCTTTTTTTTTTTTCCTTTAGTCACCTAAAAGAGGCAACATTCTATTTTTATTTACATTAGAACAAATGCACGACACTTGCAAAATATTAACATTTTAATTAACACTTTAGTATTAGTTGTCTTGGGTTAAAATTACAAAGAACATGAGAAATCCCCTCAGTTTTTTGTAGCCTTTCAAGTTACTGTGTTCATTATTGGCTGTAAGTAAATAAGAATTGTAAAAGGAAAATACTGGTTTTGAAGTGAAATTTGAAGTTCTAAAACATTGTTGCTGAATTGCTCTTTGCAGGTTTTCCATATCTTTTTGCTGGTTATGTTTGTTTTCTGCTATACAGAGATTAATTTGTTGCTTCCTTTAATACTCCTGTATGTCACTTGATTTAGATAACAATACAGAGCAGAGTGACTGCGCAGAAACCAAACCTGGCAGTATGTGTACAAGCTCCATTAGCAGTGACCTGCGACCAGTTTGTCTTCGATGATTTAGGTAAATTATTATAGTACCATTACAGCTATTGTATCATATTACTTTTTCTGAGGATGTTTGAAAGGTAGAGTCCAGCCTCCATTGAGTGCATTGTTGCAGATACACTGCAGTTAAAGCAATTACAAATTTGCCTTGCCTGCGCTCTGCAGCTTCTAGATACTGCTTGGTGGAGGAAAACAAAGTAGAAAGGAGTGGAGTTGCTTCCTTGATTACAGTATGATGCATGGCAGGTGAGGAAAGGCAGGGTGGCAGCTCCGTGATAGAGGAAAAAAAAAAAATCAGTTATTCTGTGGTGCTTTTGCTGGGGCATTTTGTTTTCCTGGCAATTCTGCCTATGTAGAAATGGCACTGCTGAACTAAAAGCAGGGACAGAAAGCTTGTTTACCTGTGGACAGTCTAGCATATGCTCCCAACTTAGCATCAACTGTTTGGTGATTCTATCCTTATTCCAACTCTGTTGATAAGGCTGCAGGTGGGATTGCCTTGAAGACTTGAGCGGAGCTGAAGACCAGAGAAGTGTGTCCTGCTGCCTCAGTTGGGACTGCAGAAATGTGCAGTAATGGTCCCTATTGAAACAGGGCTTTACTGACTGCTGCTCTCATCTGAAAGGACAGTTCTTATGTTTTCTCAGCATGTGACAGGAGCAAAGGGCTGATGGCTTTGTAAAATATTAAAATCACAATATAAAACTGCATTTGTTTTGATATTCTCTGTGTTCAGCATGCTGAATTGTTTTCTTGGTTATGCTTCAAGATAGTTATAAGTTGGAGAGACTAGTTTGCCTTTTACAAATTACTGATTTAAAAAACCAGCATGTCCAGTAATTTGATAAAGGTGAACTGATGGAAACAACTACCATAATTTAGTAGAATATTTCCCAAAGTGCTAGAAAATATGTTGCTTTTATTTGCATGCTCCCATTACTTGATTTAATTTTGTATTGTTTTTAGAACCAGATTCATCTGAAACCGTGGTCCTGTCTGTCTTTTTGAAGGGGAATTGTTCTCCATCAGAACTAGAAGGAAATTGTGTGGTTTCATGTAATATACCAACAGGTAAGCCACTGGAGATTTCAAATTGATTTGCCTTTTTTGAGGTCTTTTGCTTTACATATTTCTTATAAATGTTCTTTTGAAATATATTGAAGGCAGTAGTAATTAAAGAAATAATGTGTACCAGAGTCTAGTTTTCAGTTCTAGTTAATATTTTATGTAGTATTGTTAAGTAAAGTAATTGGTCTTATAGAGGTAAAGTCATATGCTTATGGCTTGGGAAGCAGCCATACAAGCTTTCCCACCCTGTCCTATCAATTTGCTTCTGTTCTGCTCTTTAAGGGACCAGCTCTTAGAGTGAGATGTTAATTACATCTTTATGACTATTCTTCTGGGCTGCCAACGAATGTGACAATAAGTGCCTCTTCACAGAGGAGGATATTTCAATAAGCACTGGGAGTGATTATTCCTCACTTCCCTTTTAACAGTTGAACATATTCATTCTAAACAAATAAACTAACCCAAAAGAATAGAAACTAAGTTGTTCTGTTTTATAATGCCCTACTGACCCTAGTGATAGAATATGTAAATTTACCTTGCTATCCATAAATGAAGACTGATTAGCTCAGTTTTCTACACACAGCCTTGTGAATGTATTTAGGCCAGGCTTCCATGTTAAGTTAAATGTAGCATAAACCAGTTTAAGCTGTCTGTTCTTCACTTTTCGGCTTTGCTCCTGCACCTCCTCCCCTGTTGTGCTCACACAATCAACAGTTATTTCTCAGCCAGATTTGCTGATTTGGTTCACTGTGCAAACACAGAGCTGTGCCAGCACAAAAGGGAAGGGTGACATGGAACAGACTGGCATCAAAGAAATGCATGTGGAGTTAGGGCTTCTGTGAAGGATGGTGGTCTTGAGTACCCTATCCTATGTAGACACTTTTATTTAAGCATTTACTTCACATCACTTTTCACTTGAAACATTGTGTTTATGATGATAGTCTAGGCTGTGTGATGATTGAAATGTTTATTTCTAGACAAAGCTGAAACTCATGTTTTTAAAGAACTTGATCTTACCCTCTTTAGACAAGGCTTGCAGGTGTGTGCAGGGGGTGGGAGAGAAAAGGGTGCTCCTCCCTTTTTCTTCAGAGCCTGCACAAACAGCTTGTACAACTTCAGTCCCTCTGTATTGTGACTCTGACTGCTTATTCCTTGTGAATGAGATGGTGTACCTTCGTAAGTGTCCAACTTAGTGATGTGGCTTTAGACAGGTTTTGTGGTATGACTGTATAGGTAGTATACTTTTGGGTATCTTGGATCCTCTGATTTTGAAAGCTTGCTTTTTGTTTTGCTGGTCTTGCTTCTGTGATTTTGCTTTGTAAGACCAGAGTATCAAACTTAAAGAGTATTTCTCCCCGGCAAATGAACGTATTATTTCTTTCAGATGATCCTAGTTAAACTTATGCTTATATTTTAGATATTAGGTTGGATTTTGCAAGCCTTTTGGTTAGAGAAGTAAAGAAATCTTCTATCTTAAGTGTGTTTGATTGTTTATATGCAATTAAAAAACATCCCCAGAAAACATGACATCTAACAGAATTAGGGAATTGTAAAAGAAATTCTAAAAACTTAACTTTATTTGTAGAATTTGGAAGACTTCTAAATAAAGGAGCATAATTAAGATCTTGCTAAATTTTTGAATATTAATTTAAATTATGAAGCTGGGATAATTCTATTCAATTACATACAAATACTAGTGTTACTTGTTCAAGGCAATCAAATCCTTAAGTGTAATATACTAGTAAACAAAAATTAAGTGCCTTTGTGACTTCATTTTATCTGAATGGAGACTTCTTCCTCCTTTGTTTTTTAAGATATCCATATTTGTAGCCAATTCAATCTTCAGTGTATCTCTGTGGGATTCATACAGCTGAAGGTTAATGAGTCACTCAATTGGATGGGATTGCACTATTGATGAATGTGGTCTCATGTCTGTTTTTTGGCTAGTATTATGTCTTTATGTATTGTCTACTTAATAAATGTGCCTTAAGTCTTTTAAAACCTGTTACTACATTTCCTTTTTTTCCTATTTTGAGTAGCATCTTATGTATTCTTCTTTTTCTTTTTCTCCCATTCCTGGTTATACGGTAGAGCTCAATCCTGAAGGTAAGTGAATGGAAAAAATGCAAAGTTTGAATGGTTTCATGAGTGACAGCGTATGCTGAATAAAGCAGATTTGGAAGGGAGCTGTTATTTTACCTATTATTTCTATAAGTTCTTATTATCCTTGGTTTGATGCTATGAAGGTGTGAATATTTGAGAAAATTGAAAGTAAATGAGGCTTAGACATAAGAAGACAATTACTCATGGGGAAAATAGAAAGTAGTAAAGACATTTCTTGGTGAAGTATATTGCACTTTCTCATATGTAACATAGGAATTTTCCAAAGTATTAAGTGCCTTGTGCATTGAGATTGAAAATGGAAAACACAATTGTATGTTCTTTCTTTACCATATTTTTAGCTATTTTTTTCAAGTTTCAGCAAGAACTTAAGCAGCTAAATTATGGCTTTTTTTGGTGCAACTGAACCAGCCATTAAGGATTTGTAGCTAACGCTATGCTGCTTGGACTGAGTAGCTGTGATGTCACTTATCTGAGAATGATGTCATTTAACGTCTCTTCATTCCAATTCCTATTGGAAACATCCTATTCAAGGCTAACAGGCTGCTTTCTAACCGACAATACCAGCAGTACAAAACTTAGCTGTGATTGTGGTAGGTATGATACTTGCAAAAGGTACAATTAAAAGACAAAACTGGACTGGAAAGTTAGCTAAAAAGAGAGAACGGTAGTTTTGTATATGTGTTGAAAAGATACAGTCCTTACAGGAGATATTTTACTAACTTCAAAAAATAGACATTAAGTACAAATTCCCTCATGTTTTGGGGAGAGAAAAAAGTTGCTTGTCATACAT